AAGAAAAAGAATTGAATTGGGCTTTATTACGGTCCGACTTTGGGCCTAGCGAGAAGCAGTTTCTTAACCAGATCAAACAGGAATGTTCTGGTGTGCCCTGAAGAAAATGGAATATTCTGGAAGTTTACAGAGAACTCTACCGTTAATCTGATCATGTCCGAAATCTTGCTTAAAATAGAATCTTCACGGAAGTTCCAGAATCGTGTTGCAGAGTACCAGAATCTTCTCTTGCATCCTATAAGTATACCTGTGCACCCTTTTCATGCCATCGTGACAAAGAAAATCACAACTCACTCTGATTCAAAGCAAAAGCTTCCAGCAAAGTTCATTACTAATGGCTCTGATTCCAAGCATTTTCGGTGGTCGCCGGAGCAACGTTTTCGACCCCTTCTCTCTGGACATATGGGATCCCTTTGAGGGCTGTCCATTCTCCAGCGCTCTCACCTCATTCCCTTCCTCCGCACGGGATGCCTCTGCATTCGCAAACGCCAGGATTGACTGGAAAGAGACGCCGGAAGCTCATGTTTTTAAGGCGGACCTTCCTGGGTTGAAGAAGGAAGAAGTGAAGGTAGAGGTAGAAGAAGGTAGGGTGCTGCAGATCAGTGGAGAGAGGAGCAGTGAGCAGGAAGAGAAGAATGATAAGTGGCATAGAGTAGAAAGGAGTAGTGGGAAGTTCCTAAGGAGGTTCAGGTTGCCGGAGAATGCAAAGATGGATCAGGTCAGTGCTAGTATGGAGAGCGGCGTGCTCACGGTGACCGTGCCAAAGGTGGAAGAGAAGAAGCCTGAAGTCAAGGCTATTGAGATTTCCGGCTAAATTCAATCTCTCTCGTTCTGTCCTTTGGGGAAAATAGCAGATATGTGGAAATGCATTTGTGTGCAATGAAAATAGCAGATACTGAAAATTTGTAGGTTGGTATGCAATAAAAATTTGGAATGTAGAAATGTGTTATTGATATATAAATAAAAAATATGTTTTTTTTTTTTTGCTGTCTAAATTGCTAGAATGAATTACAAATGTTTTTTCATGTTTGATGTTAATGTATCTAAAATAAAAACGAGTGAAAATCAACTGCAGAGAGTCTGAAATTTCATAAACTGGATGTCTTAAGCATTGCTGTGTGTAAATGGTGAAGTGCATTAGCAGGCACTTCAAATCAAGAGAGGATTCGCCCGGCTTCTTGTTTTCACGACTGAAACTGTTCCAAGACAGTGCTGCAAGAGGTTTCTCAGCTTCACTGAAACTTCACTTTCTTTACCAATCTCAAGACATCACCAACTAGGTGTAATGAACCAGTTACAAGGACCTAATCAATCAAACACAGACATGTTTATTTTACAGTAAATGTTGATAATAGCATCCAAGCAGGTTACAAGATTTCTAGTTTCTAGTATTTGTTTTTAAGGTTGCAGAAATCGCTAAGCGATGGTGGGCGGTTGCCCACATTCCACATCCCAGAGCTTAGAGCGCTTAGGTGGCCTAGGTGATTTTTTTTTAATAATAATTTTTTGATTAATTATAAGAGAATAAAAAAAATGTAAAACAATTTTAAAAATTATAAAATAAATAGAAAATTTTATTTATTTATTTATTATTATGTTTAAAAAGCAGAATTTAAACGAATTATTTAGTATTTAATGTTTTTTAATATAATTTTTATTATAAATTAAATGACATCATTAATTAAGTTAAAAATTTAATAAAAAGTATTTGCTCAAGCACTTTAAGTGCTATTAAGCACACCTAATAATACTTGAATGTACTTAATTAATTTGAGTGGTGCAAACCACATTGAATTTCTGTAGGTGAAATGATATCACCTAAAGCCTAAGTTGATATATGCGAAATGACACCAGCTAGAGCCTAAACGACTTTTTACAATACTGTTTGTTTTCCATATATAAAAGAATGATTACCTGAAAGCGAGTAGATCCGTTCTTCTGGACACTGTCCCTGAGCCATTTGATAGCTGATGGGAGGGAAGAAAAAACAGCACTGTTTTCACAACTCCTAGCACAAATTTCTTTAACTTCTTCAACCTTGTCTGCATTCTTGATCTCAACTCCTTGTGAGTATAAAAAATGATATTATTTCATTAATACAAAATCAGTTTCTTGAATTTGAATATAAGGCAAATTAAACGACTTGAAGAACTCAAAAATAAAGCAAAATTTGATTTTTACCATTAAGAAGTCATTTTTTTATTATGTAGAAACTATCTCTAACCTACAAGATATAAATTCTATGAAGTCATAAGAATGTTTGATTTAATATTGACCATTACCTTTATCACCTTGCATCAGGTTCTCCCATACTCTTTGAAGAGTAAATTGCCATGACAAATCAACTTGGGAATCAGATGGTGGTAAAGTATGTGATCCAACCTTGTAATACACTGATATGTTTGGAACAAAGAGTGCCTTTTTGAAATAGACTCCTGAAATATCAGTTAAATGCTTTATAAATTTTGTAAACTGAACCATGAACTTTTTTTCTTCAAAAGCAGGACTCCTGTTAAATTCAGTTAACAGATAATCTGAAATTTCTTCTCAGTCCAGCTAACTCTTATCTCATTATGACCATTCAAATTCCAAACATGACCTGCAACCTAGGTCTAAAACCATGTTTCATGTTAGAGGGAAATACCATGATCAGTGCATTCTGTCATCAGGCGTGGAAGAAGCAACTGTGGATCTCGCACTGGCATACAATTGAAGAGCAGCATCTGCACACGATTCTCAACAACAGTTCAACATCACTTTGCTGAAGCCAAAATGTTTACACAACACTAAGCTCAAATTATGAGGATATAAATTAGAAAGCTCATATGAGTAGATTTAGAGATGCATTTCTAACAACATAACTGCAAGCAAAACTAATGCCAGTTTTTATCCAAAGCAATCCTTTACATCTGCTCTCTTTCTGCTAAATTTCTTTACCTTCGGCTTTCTTTAGTCAGAAACTTAATTATCAATCTTCCGTAACTTTTTGCAAGTTGGTATCTTTCCTGGTCCAGGTATCCGTAGTAGGAATGGGCATCAACTATAACTAAAGCAGAAGAAATTGTTAACAGATTTCAACACTTGTCTGTTCCATTTTTCAAAGAGAAAATTTGATCTTTAAGTCAAGATCATTTATGTTAACTACATCTGTCCCAATCCACCTCTCTTGCAAATTATATACCTAATTCAACTCAATTGAAAACATATCAGGCCTCATAAATATGCATCACTAAACATAGTTGGAAAAAATAGGCACTCAACTGGTACTTTATTAAAAAAGAACAGTGATTTGAGCAGAACAGAAGTTCTATCACCTTAGACTTTAGGAATGGATAAAAAGAAGGTTTAAAACCGTGTGCTCTACCTGGACGGTACTTTTCCTGGATCTTTCATCAGTGTACCACTGAGTCAACTCATTGGAGGATCCAGAACAGTCATGTGCCTGACCATTCTGCATATTTTGCTGATTTTCTTCTTTAATAGCAAGAGAAAACCATCTTGCACATGCTTCCATGCTTTCAGGACTATGGGCTCCATCAAGATAAAACACCAGATCTCCAGGACTTTCTGTATTAGCAAGTCCATCAGGGACAATCTGAGCGCGTCCTTGCAAACTGGCTGTTGTTAAGCCTTTGATAAATTGCTCAGGCAGTGAACTCTATTTCAAGTATAAAAATGTTTTAGGGGAAAAAATAAAGAAAACAAAATATTGGATAGCGTGTGGAGAAATCACCGACATGTGGAACTTACTGTCTGATTGAAGTATGCAGCGCCAAGGTGACCAGTCTTCTGAAGCCATGTGGAAGATAATGCAATGGCAAGACCAGCATTAATATATTGATGCTCACCCTCAAGTTCAAGTTTCAGACCATTAAGCAAGCTTTTATCTAAAGGTTGTGCAACTTGAAGATGTACCTGTTATCAATGGGATTTTTTCAGTTCACCCACTAAAGGCTGCTAACTTCTAACTGCTTCCTACTTGGCATGATAATATGAGATAACCTTCTATGCCAGCTACGAAAGTTATAAGATTCAGTAGGTCAATGTATTTCCTGAGTTTTCAGCAACCTTAGCACAAGCAGATAAACATCTTTAGAATACTACAGAGAACTTGATTGAGTTCTTTTGCTGATTGAATGACTGGCCCCAACATCTCATCTATGGAGTTCTTCATGAGATGGAAAATCTTCAACAGTGAAGAGGTCCCTTGCTATGGGATTTATCATAGATGAACAAGTTAATTTGGACCAAGTTGATCATAAAAAGTTAAGAGCCAGGATCTGAGACATACATTTTTAAATTTTGGGCACAAAAAACCAATAAATAGAAGAATGTTGCAACTTACATCAAACCTAAAGGCTTTCTCTTCAAGAACACGCATTGCTTCATCTGGTTGAGACACGGTAAAGGCTGGAACCCCTTGCTGCACTTAAAGAAAAAAGAGGGACAAACAAGTAAAAATAAACGAAGATTAAGTTGCAAAAGTAATACAAATTGTCTATTGCAAATTCAAATATTCTAAGGAAATGTAATTATAGAAAAAGACCTTAAAAATACCAGCCTTCTCTCCTGCAATTTCTCCTAGAGTGTTTCCTGTCAATAGCATCCAGCAAACAAAAGATAAACAATTAAAAGAGTCACGTAGTGGGGTAAGTAAGATGATTAAGAAGTTAAATCCTTCAAGCATATAGTCAAGTACCACACATAAAAAAGAGGTTGATGCAAAATGGGTATAAGTAATTTCTGAAGGCAATTACAGATATCTCCAACTAATGTGTCCTGAATTCCTCATTAATGGAACAATAGAAACAGATGCCACACAAGGCTCTACCCCAAAAGAAAACACCAGTTATTGTGACAAATACAGCATACTGCAGACCAAATTGAATTTCATTAAACCTATTAAGAAACAAGTAAATTACAATTAATCATATAACTATAACTAGTTAACTAAAGTATAAAAATTTAACACTAACCGAGAATCTCCATGTGATCAAACCCAAGGGAAGATATACCACAAACTACAGGTGTCTGAACCTGAAAACAGTAATATGTCTAAGCATCCACTCTGAACAGTATAGTATAACATGGAAAGAGTCTCTAAATGCTAAACCAAGCTCGTAGCTAGATTCAGCAATGGACACTACAATCAATTGGTAAATGAATTTATGAACTTAGCAGAACGTACTACATTTGTGGCATCAAACCTCCCACCTAAACCAACCTCCAAAATAGCAACATCGACCTGTATAGATAAAGCCAGTGTTTCTAATCCAACTTCTTTAAAGAGGGATATCCATGGACTAGCAGAAGTAATATAGCAAAATTGCTTCTAGTGGAAGGGAAATAACACACATCAAACCTGCTCTCCTGCAAATATTTTAAAGGCAAGCAAGGCAAGAAAGCGAAAGTATGTAGGCATTGGTATATCATCACTGGTTTTTTCCTGCACGCACACAATGAGAAGCCACCAGAGTTAAACTTGTTATTCCAAATCTACTACTACTTTAAAAGTACAAAATTGAATCAGACAAAAAGTGTCATTTAGTGATTATTATGACATTGAATTCAGAAAGAGATAGAGAGAGGATGGAATTGCAGATTATGCAGCTTGAAGTCAGTAGTCCATGGGGACAACCAAATCTCATTTTCTTCAAGTTTTCTCCACATTTTACTTAGTTGAAAGTAAGCTTACTCTACATTCGACTTACTTTGGATTCATTGGTTACCAGGTTAGAAACAAACCTTTAGCCTGTCATAACACCACCAGAAATATGCCAGGAATTTCTCCTCAGATATGTCCACGCTGCCGTAACCAACCAGAACAAGAAGAATTAGATAAGGGATCAAAACCAATAACATAGAAAAGTACAGTTTAAAAGTACTAATTAATCTCACTTATCTTTTTAGAATCATAAACAACATAAAGTGTCAGTTAAATGGAAGAAACATAGATGGTAATGCTCAAGCAACAAACTTGACCACTTAAATTTTAGTAAAATGAAACACAAGTACTTGAGGATTCAAAAAACTCACCCATCTAAACGAAACCTTTCGCGGACATCAATAAGGTGAGGAGACGTGAAAAGTCCAGTGTGGAAGCCACAATTACGTAATATAGCTTCTGTAAATGTGCATGTCGATCCCTTTTCAAATGTCAAGTATAATAATCAACAAGCCAAGCCATGTAAACACAAGATAGCAATTAGCAAGCAAGATTCAGCCTTCCAGAAAATAAAAAAGAAAAAAAGTTCCACATCGTATTAACTACCTTTCCTTTGGTTCCGGCAACATGGATGATCTTCATCTGAGAAATTGCCTCATCCAAATCCAGAATCTACAAATCCATACACAATGAGCTAGTACCATGACCAAAAGCACTTAATTATAATCACTTAATCATGACAACTACGTACCTTCAAATAATCGTAAAGCAAGTCAAACCGATCTCCATTGTTGCTCTTATCCGCGCGGCTGCGTTTCGTGATGAGGGAGGAGAGAGCATCCAATGCTTCCTCGTATGGAGTGGCTGCCGCCGTCTTTGCCAATCCACTCTCACCTTTTAATGGATACAAAAACCGAAACGTTCGACAGAAATCATTTCTAAATGCGGAATTAATTAAAGTTTCAAGTTCAGAAATGAAACTTACCTTCGGCCATATTTTGCTTTCTAGCGGTGTTCTGTGGAGACTGTTAAGGAGTGGATGGCGGTTACTAACTGAAGATGAAGAGATTGCGGCTTTCCTGCATTCCTTTGAATTTGATTTTCCTGCATTCCTTTGAATTTGATATTATTTTTACTGATTTTTGCATTTTGGGACTTAAAGTTTTGTACCATTTCTACAATTGTGACCGAAATTTCTATATTTTTCATTTCATTCCCGCAAGAAAACTACTTGAAAAATTACAATAACTAAAGGCCAAAAAAAAGACTATGATGTTTTACCAACATTAAACTACCAAACATTAGTTATTAGATAAATCTTTAAACATTAGTTATTAAATAAGTTTTCTCTCTAAAGTGAAACCTCTTGTAATTCAATAATTAATATTTTGTAATTCAATGTAATAAATACTTTTTTAAAAATAAATAATCTAAAAACTCAATATTTTTTTTTATATTTAAAAATAAACAATACTAAATCAATTTTTTTTTTGTATATTTAATTTCCCATTTTAGTTAACACATTCATTTCAAAATTCAAATATTAAATGTCTTAGGCATGTAAATTAACATTTTAAGTTCTCATTTATTGACCCACTTCTTTAGAATTTAAACAACTTTTAATATACTATAAACATACCATTGATCTTTTCAAAATAAAAAAGTTGAAGAATGAAGAGTATTATTTAATATCACTGAGGCTTGTACACAAGATCAACGTCAACAGGTGAAGTATATATCATTTAATTTTCAATAAATATTATGTAAAAGACCATTTAAAGAAAGCAAACTTGTGGAAGGATCTTATTGTAAAAATCAACAACAGTTTTTGTATAGGTCATAAGATTAATTTTTTAAGAAAGGTCATGTGATCAACACCGTTGAAATTTTTGTCCAGAATGGCCGAAAAAGGAAATCAAGGGCTCAGGTTCTTAGGCCCATTCTCTTTCCGCATATCTGATCGTGTGCCTTCTCAACCACAGCTGATACATCACCATGTGGAACGCATCGAACGGCTGTGGCGTATCGTTCCACACGAAATGCTTACTCGCGGCCACAGCAGATTCCCTCATCTCGTCGTACACATCGACCACCACGCGCCCCAACTCCCGCTTTAGCTCCCTGGCCCCACCGCCGGTCCCTACAAACACTGCGATCCCTTGCCACGACAGCACGTCCATCAACGGCAGGTCCTGTATCGGACGGCCGGTGATCACCACCGGGACACACCCGTAACTCATAGCTTCTCCGATCGCTGTGATGTCCGGTCCGTACTCGAACAAACAGAACTTGCTGCCGGCGAGTCTCGACTCGTAAGTTAACTGATCGGACGGCTCGGATTCAACGAAAATCTCCGGATCAGCTAGGAGCTCCTCCACGAGGTTTGACTCTTTGACCCAGTTGTATCTAACATAAGCGAAGTAGTTCACGCTCTTATTAGCCGGCGCGTATGGAGCGTGAACGTTGGCAAGCGGCGGTAATGTTATATCCTTGTGAGGGATGAACAACCCACTGGCCGTGGGGAAGCAGGAGATCTGGACGGAGTTCTTTTTCAACTCCACAACGTTCCGATCCCCCCCATGACCCACACCCACGCAGGAGAGATAAAAATGGTCAGCCCCCAGCGTCCGATTCCAGTAAATGTACTCCGTCCGGTAATCCGACACCACACTCGCGGCGGCGCGCGGGGAGACAGCGGCGTTAAACGAGTGGGGTATGAAAAACAGGTGGGCTTCTTCAGGGTTCTGCGTGATGAAGTTGCTGTGCGTTAGAGTCGAGTAAAACAGAGACTCGACTTTGGAGTCAAAGGATAGCGTCTCCGACTTGGGGTAGATGTAAATTTTGAAAGCTTTGAGCATCTTTTGGTAGTTTGGCGAAAGGATGGTGGGGGAGAGGTAAGGGGAAGAACTGAGGGGGGTGGAAAGAGGGAGGAGAGAGGCGAAGAGGGAGAAGCAGAGGACGAAAGTCAAAGACATTTTTTTTGGGAAACTATTGCCTATTGGCGGGTTTGGTCTTAGCCGGAGGCGGAGGGAGATTTAAAAAGGGTTCGAAAGTCGAAACTTCAAAGTTTTTAATTGCCGGAGGTTGTTTCATTGAGAAGGACGTTCGCAGCACGTGAAATTAAGGGCGCGTCAACAAATAGCGATTGAGAGAATTGTGGGTTTCGTAATTAAGTATCAAATTAATTGAAAGGATAGTGATTTAGTTGAGGGTGAGGTTTATTTTTTAATTTGTTTATTGAGACTTGACTTATTTATAAAAAAGTATTAATGGAAAAATAATTTTTTATTAAGGTTTTTAGTCTAATTATAAATTGCGTGTCTTGGACTAGTAGAGAGAGACTTGTCTTGAATTACCGTAAGTAGTAAGGTAGCAACAATAATTGAAAAAGGAGGGAAAGTTGTGAATGAAGATATTAATTTTTTGTTTAAAAATATTAATTTTTATTTTTATTTTTTATTTAAAAATTAATTGAATGGTGATATTGATGTGATAAATAGATTTTTTAATTGAAAATATTAAAAATTAATATCTTTAAATAAAAATAAAAAATTAATATTTTTAATTTAAAAAAGAGAGTAAAAATTTGTATTTTTATTACATTTTCTCGAATAGAAGAATACGAAATTAAGAAATTAGACTTTTGCTGCAATAGAACTGGGCCTAGATCTGGCCCATTAATTTTGACCAGGCCATAAAAATAAACTAGCTGGAGCTGGTACCCATGTTGAGCCCAATTACGTGTGCTTCGTTGTAAAGAAATCAAAAAGCGTGTACCTCAAAACCTCCAAAAGGCGCGTACCGAACCAGCTCCGTCACTCTCGTCGTCTCCGTTGCTTCCGGACTACGACAATCGCCGACGTCCTCTAGGGTTCGATTTCTGCACTAAATTTGAACTTCCACAGTAGACAGGAACTCAAATCTGACGCAAATGTCTCTCTGAATCACCTCCGCCACAGCCAATACAGTCTCTCTTCCTCGTTCGCCTTTCGCTGTGTCTTTCCCTCGCTCCTCAATGGACGAATCGTACTCTAATCTTCCTTCCAGTCATTTGCTCGGTTCAGTTCCTGTAAGCATCGCATTTCCTTCTTATTTATGGTGCTAAACATGATTAATTAAATTAATAGTGTCTTGATCTCTTTTCTCTTAGTCACAAATGCTCGTTAATTTCTATGCCTTTTGGATTTCAGGCAGTTGTTAATGAAGGGACAAACAGCACGACTCATGAAGGTATGTGCTTTTAGTGCTTAAATTTCTTGTTGGGGGTTGGAATTAAAACTTCAGAAGCCTGTGGCAATGTAACTTTGAGATGAGGATTAATCTTTGTTTCTGATTTAGTGTAGTCCCGGAAGCAAACATGCGGATATTCCCTCCGAACAATGGAGAAGGAGGCAGTGGTCGGGGTTATCAGAGTCTTGGAAGTCCTACTGGTATGGATTCTAGAATTTGCTTGCTGTGAATGGTAAAAAAAAAAAAAAAATTGAAATGTTTGCATCTGGGGTTTACCCTTTTCAGTTGAATGTTTCTTTTTGTTGCAACTTATTGTACTAATTAGATTCTCATTGCTATTCTATGAATTCGGTTCTTAGAGCAGTCTTTTATGTGGAAACCTTATGTTGTAATAATATTGTGAAGGTGGATAGGTGGATAACTGGATATTAGTGATTCAGTTTGAGTTTAGATGGACACTTATTGCTTCTTTGTCTTGATTGTTTTTTTCCTCGTTGGGACTGCCAGGATTGGTTGGGGGGTAGGGGTAGTTTTTGTTAGTTATATTTGTTCCTTTTTTGATGTAGACTATACTCTATAGTGCAAACAAGGATACTTCGATATCTTTATTTGGTACTTTTTAAATATTTGATAGTAACAAACCTTTTCTGAGTTAATTTGGTCAAAATTATATGTAAATCAGTGATGCTGCTCTTGCAATACCAATGCTACTGAGCTACCCTTAATATTTAATTATTGCTTCTTTTTTTTTTTTCTTTTCATATCTTTTGCAGAAGGTTTTGAACAACAACCAGCAAACAACTGGAAAGGAGTTTTCAATATCTCATCATATATGCAATATTTTAACGTGGACACTGACATTGTCATTAACAGATTGATAAGTTCTTGGTTTCCCATTGACGGGAAATTTTTCAGCAAGATTGATTCTAACCCTGATCTGTGAGTTTGGCATATTCTCCCAGCCTTTTTTCTTCATTTTTATTGGTGCAAAAATATTTTCTTGAGGGAAAAGCACTGAATCATTCTAGTTTTTGGGTGAAGGCCAAAAAATTTCTAATTTTTGAATGAGAGGCCGTAGCTATTTTAAGAAGGGCAAATGATTGTGGAGGTGAGATGTTAGGATGAAACATATAATTTGGAAGTTAATGAAATTAGGATGAGATGGAGGACAGCATTCAATAACCAAGATTTTTTCTTTCTCCATCAGCAAAACACAGGTTTCAGAAGTTAGAAACCATTAATACATAAGATTGCTCTAAGATAACAAGTTTTTATTTATTTTCTTTTAATTATGATTTATTATTTTTTGCAATAAAAAGCTGTTAAAAGCAGACAAGGAAGCATGCTGGACGTATTCTTTCCTTCTCTGCCCCGGATAATTGTATACTAAATGCCAAATGTAAATTCTTACTGCTACTGTTATTTGGCCTTGTCATCTAAGAATATACAATGATGGCTTGGCAAAAGTCTCTATAGCTATGAAAATTGAACTAGTAGAGAAGCATATAGATCAAAATCTTGGAGGAAAATGGGTAAGGAGGTGCATAGAGAAAATGTGCATAATATTAGATGAGAATGTTGATGATGCAACATATGAATGAGTTTTTCATTGGATCTAATAATTTTTTGGTCTTGATTCTTTCTACATGTTAGTTATGGGGCCATCTGGATATCAACTACATTGGTGTTCCTGTTTGCTTTACTAGGGAACTATGCCACATATCTTATTGAAAAGCACTCTGACAGCAGTACCTCTTGGAGCTTTGATATCAGCTATGTGAATGTTGCCGCAGGAGTAATCTATGGTTATGCAATTGTGGTGCCATTGGCATTTTACTTCTTGTTTCGGTATATGGGTTCAAACCCCAGCCTTATACGATTCTGGTG